GCAACAATCAGAAACACCAAAGCCAGAATCCTGTTGACTTGCATGATTGTTTAAGAGTGGTTAAGAAATTGTTTTCTCCTTCCTCCAGGAGACTGTTTCATAGTATTACAGTGGTTGCAAAAGTGGGTCACACAATGGTGGGCGGAAGGATGCTGTGAGATAACAAAATGTTGTAATAATGATAATTATAAAACTGCAGAACTGGAAGGGACTCTATGGATCATGGAGCCCAGCACTCTCAATGAGGCACAGTGGGGAACTGAACTCCTAATCTCTGGCTTTGCAGCCAGGGACATAACCCACTGAGCTATCCAGCAGTTCAGTTCTCCTACTGTGCAAGGATCATATCAACAGGGTTTGTATCCATGTCTTCAAAAAGAAATGTTTTGAAGAATCCTTGTGGTTTGGCATCTTCAAGTGTTCTTGATCATTGAAGCAAAAATAAAAACCATAGTGGAAAAGGGGAGAGCCAGAGCATCTTCCCAGAATAGCTGGCCTTACTTCTTCTGACTCCTCAAATATGGATTGATGTCTTTTCCATGATCCATTTTACTTGGGGAAAATCAGTAGGTGTACTTGATATGAAGGCATACAGGTTAATCTTTAAAAGAGTGCTGCTTCTCCACCCTAAATCTCTGCTTAGCCTATATTTAACTAGTAAGATCATTTAAATTGCATCAACATGATCAGACCTATCAAGTATCTTTCCCAAGGACTAATCCTGATTGACCAATCTTCTATACTTTCTATAGCTGCTCCAGCCAAAAAATGCTTTCTTTTCAACTGCAACAGGGCCATTTAGATTGCAGTTGTTTTCACTCTCTCATTTTGCATATAGTTATGTGGAACAAAAGAAGGTGTCTAACACAGAAGGAGTTTTGTGTTACGCTACATCCTGGTGCAGCAAAGCCAGTCAAAAATGTTGTGGCACCTTGAAGTCTTTAAGGGCCCCCAGGATCTCAAGGGAAAAGATGCAGTTATGTGCCTCTTACTGGTTTTGCTGGAACTGGCTAATACAGAGCTAGACCATTGCTCCATCTATTCAATACTGACCATACTAGCTGGGCGCAGCTCTCTGGGTTTTGGGTAGGGGTCTTTTCCTGTGTACCCCGAACACCAAGAGCATGAGATTTTTTGCATGAAAAGTACATGCTCTTCCATCAGCTATAGCACTATTTATTTTGGAGGGGGAAGCTAGTAGTCAATGACTCTTGCTCTAGAAAGAATGTAGAAGAATCAGCAAACTGGAGTGGTTGCCAGTTCAGAATGTACCATGGTGTTGTTACACTCCCCTCCTCAGCCCTTCTTCTTTTTAAACAAGTGCTGCTGTTACATCTAGTTCAGCCCTTGTGTTTCTCTTCTGCTTTGTAGGAGAGATAAGCCAGAATTTAAGTTTAAGGGCTTATGAAATCCTTCTGCGACTTTCATTAAGTCCTAGGCTGGTTTTGGTGGTGGTAGAAATTAGCTTCCTTCAGGAATCTTTTCCAAATGTGTCCATCGCTCACCCCCAGAAAGTGTCCGTCTGAACTTTGCTCTTCAGTACACACAGAAGCTTTCCAACATTACATGCGATTCTGTCTTGGAAATCTTAACCTAGCCCCTGAGGAGGCCATTAAAGATTTCTCTTCTCTTGAACGCAGTCTCCAAGCTGGAAAAGCGAGGTCTAGAAACTGCAAGGCATAAACTTCTGTATTCTGTTATCTGCCCACAGCTGTGAGTGTGCATGTTTGCATTTTATGGCAGTTGTCAGTAAAATGAATTTTAATGTACTGTATAAATTGCATTTAGCCTTGCAAACACCTTTGTTGGAGGAGATTGTGCTTGGTTTTGTTTTTTCTTTCTATTTTAATTAGCTTTTTAAACTGTTCTCCATTGGCCCTTAAAGTTCCTAAATAATACCTGGAGACTCTCCAAAGCAAATGTTAATGAACTGGGATGGGGTGGAACAGCGCCTGGATAAAATAAAATATTGAAAATCTTATTTAATTATCTGATTCACATGTCAGAAGAGTGCATAAACAAAGTATATACAGAGATGTACTTGTTTTTGTTGTTGTTTAGTTGTTAAGTTGTGTCCAACTCTTCGTGACCTCATGAACCAGAGGACGCCAGGCCCGTTTGCTATTGTATAATTTTGAATCTCTTGTCTTTTTGAAACCACATATGATCTAGGTTCCTCATCCCTCTTTGTTCAGGTCCTGTTTTTCCCTTTTGTGTAAGAAAATGGCAGGATTGACAGGAATCCATAGTTCTGTGCCAAAAATCCTCAAAGACTTTACCAGCTGCTCATTTTTCAGTTGTATAAGAATGGGGTAAACCCAATGTGCTGGCTACAAAACTGGAACAGAAAAGAGTACATTATGTACAGTGTGTTCATTGAAGAGTCCCACATTGATCCAAGGATAGCATACAAACACACACATACAAAATTAGTGTCTGAATGAACCCCTGTGTACACGTGTTAATATGGAGAGGATGTGTACTATTGTTAAATAGACTGATGGAATCCAGCTTAGCCCACTGTTCTCTTAAAACAGGAAAATCTATAATTAGCTGCAGAAACTGTGCCTGATCTGCATCCCAGCTGTGCAGATAGCAGTCATCAGACAGGCCAGATGTTTGGAATTTGAGATTTCATAATACTTGAAGTACAGAACAGCTGCAGAAGCAATTTCTCCCTCCTTTCTCCTCCTTAATTGGCTGAGACGATGCAAACAGCAGAACTATGGAAGTAAAAGTATTTCAGTCCCAAGTATATATTTAACTGTGAACATTTGGTGACCCCATTGCCAAATAGCAATGCAAGAGACCTGACAGCAATCTGTCTTTATGTTGGGACATATTAGCTGAAGAGGTAGGTACCTTTGGAAAACTGGGAGTGTAGGAATCACATGATCAAGGTGGGAGGAAGACATATGCAATGCCTGAACCCCAGAGGTAAATGCCAGATGCAGTTTGATTGGGTTTAAATTCACAATGCCAGCCTCCTTTTCATGGGCATTGTGATATATGTCACCCAGAGAGTGGTTGTATGTAGTTCAGTAGAAGGACACCTGCCTGCATGCAGAAGGTCCTGCGTTGAGTCCCCACTATCACCAGTTACAACTGGGAAAGACCCTGGAGAACCACTGTCCATGGTACAGTGAAACAAGTCTATCAGACTCCAGGTTAGTGGTCTTTCAGTGGGTCCTCTTTTTAGCTGGTAATTGGCATCACTTCACTTCAACATTTGGGAAGGCAGCACTACATTTGGGATTCTCCTACTCATTCTGGTGTGTTGTTTGTATGCTTGGTGTAAATGATGTGTTTGTATGCTTGGTGGGAATGCCTTACTTACAACTAGAAAACATCCCACTTACCCACCCCCACCAAGATCCTGCCCAAGCTGAAATCTAGTATCTAGGCCAAAAATGTTTTGCTATTCTAAATAATGCTAATATTGTTTAAACGGGTGAGGGAGGCAGAAATTAAGATGCTTTCCCAATATATTTGTTAAATTCCACTAGATAGGGATGTTCCTCATGAATATGGGACAGCACAATGACCACCCTGATGGCATGTTGCATCCAAATTATTCTGTAAGGCTTTTCAGCCAATAAGCTTTTCTTGTATCTACAATTCTTTTTTCATTTATTTTATATTTAATGATCAGCTGTAACAATATGTACTTTTTGTTTCTCATAATGTTCTATCTTCCACTTTTTTTGTTTTATGATTTATTGATCTTCATCAGTTTATCTTAATCCTTGTTCCTGTATCACCTTCTTGATCCAATAAATCGAGAATCGCCCTGGCTGCCAGATGGGCAGTATATAAATCAAGTTGTTGTTGTTGTTGTTGTTGTTGTTGATGATGATGATGATGATGATGATGATGATGATGATGATGATGATGATGATAATTCTTAACATCTTGCAATAAATTTCACATTTCAAGTACTTCTTTCTTTTTTACAATAGCTTGATTCATCATCCATAGCAAGGGGAAGTAGTGCCCCGGTAATGTGGCTGGATTTGATTTCTACAAGTGTATTTTTATTTATTTCGTTCCTATTTTGCTTTGTCTAATATTGAGATTCATTTTGATATTTTGTACATGTCCTTTTTTAAATAGGAAAATAAACCACTTATTATAAACACTGTAGTGCAGTAATAAATGTGTGTACATATGCATGTAATAAGTACAAGTGTAAATTTGCTTAAGGTAACAATTGAGGTGACAGTCTTATACCTGTAAAAATATAACATGACATTTATGAAATTAAAATCCATATCCATTCAGAGAAAATTATTCTCTCAGCTGCTCTCACCTTTACTTTTGGAGAAATACAACCTTATGACATGAGGTCAAAATTGGTATACTGTATTTATCATTCAATTTACTGTCTTTATTCAAATTCATGGTGTTCCTGAATTTGAAGGAATCAAAGAGCACCATTTGCTGTTCCTTCTCAAGCAGCTCAATGTTTTAGGCTGGCTCGCATATGAATTTGAAGGCTTGGCATTTAAGTTTGGTGCACTTGCATTTAAAAGTCATTCTTGCAAATGGGTGAATAACTTGAGACCGACCAATCTAAATTTCTTAGGAGGGTTTAATTCTGTGCCAGGAACCCAATGTCATGTGTGTATCGTCAAAATGTTGTCCCTCCTCGCTGCCCACCCCCCTTAGGATCTGCCTTGGTAAAACTCAGGCCACCTCAGGACAAATACGAGCCCTGTGGGCATCATTGGTTGGATCTAGAAATTATGACCTCCTGGCAGAACAGTGGCTCCGTATGCCTGTGCTTTGTGTGGGGTCCTCTGGGACCCTACAGAAAGGTGCAGACAACCCCCAGAGATGAGGCTCTGTGCTTATTTCGAATTGGTTTCTGCTTCTGCCTCAGGCAAATACGAGATGCAGTGTGGTCACGGGTGGGGAACAGAGTTCTTTGGTTTTTGACATTTGTAAACAGCACCTCTTGCTAGCCCAGTTCCATGACCACCTGTTGTTTTTCCTTTCAGGGCTATTGAGCTGGAGAAATGAACGTGGGCACAGCTCACAGCGAAGTGAACCCCAACACTCGGGTCATGAACAGTCGCGGCATCTGGCTCTCCTATGTCTTGGGAATTGGCCTCCTGCACATCATTCTCCTCAGTATCCCCTTCTTCAGCGTCCCGGTGGTCTGGACTCTAACCAACATCATTCACAATATGGTACTGCAGCCCCTTTTGGAAAATATTTGAGTTAAATAGTCGTATTGGAAGCTGCCGTATATTGAGTCAGACTAATTGCCTACTTAACCTAATATTATCTACTCAGTAACAGGGGGTCTCCAGGATTTTAGACAGAGTTTTCTTACAGTCCTACCTGGCAGTCCCTGGTATTCCTTGGTGTTCACCTATCCAAATACTAGCCATGGCCAATCCTGCTTAGCTTTCAAAATAAAATGAAATCAAATATGTTCAAGTTGATGTGGATATATAGGATTTTTGCTGTTCAGTTCTAGAAGTCAGGGTTTCCTCAGGTGAGAGTATAGAATTCAGCACAGTTTCTTGTGCTCCTAAAATGCATGGGAAGATATTACTGGAGGAACTTTCCACTGTAATTTTTTTTAGTTTAATAACATGTATAAGATGCCCAGTGTGGCGTAGTAGTGGATAGAGCGATGCCCTAGGACTCAGGCGGTGTGGGCTCAAATTCCAACTCAGCCATGAAAGGCCACAGAAGGCGTGGAGCTGGTAAAACCACTCAAATTATGTCACTCACCTTGAAAGTTCTATTAGAGTTACTTTAAGTCGGTTCCAGCACATAACATAGCAATAACATGTATGTTCTCTCCTCTAGTTAGCTCATAGCTGATCCATATAGCTCTTCTCCTCAGTTTATCCTCACAACAACCTTGTGAAGTAGGTCATGCTGAGAGAATGAGTGGTACAAAGTCTTGGGTTGGGTTTTGTGCAGATTACAATCAGTATCTCCCAGTTTTCCATCCAACCATATCATTTGGGTGAAAAATGTGTAGGCCACCTGTATCTTCCCAAGGGCCTTTCCGGGGTGCTGGAGACAGTCCGTCTAGATCACTGGTTCTTAACCTTGGGTTACTCAGGAGTTTTGGACTGCAATTCCCAGAAGCCTTCACCACTAACTGTGCTGGCTGGGGTTTCTGGGAGTTGCAGTTCAAAAACATCCGAGTAACAAAGGTTAAGAACCACTGGTCTAGATCAAAAATGGCCTCTAAAGGACACTGTTTTTCATTTTAAAAATCTGATGCAAGGATATTTTGGCTTGTTTTAGACTAGAAAAGACCTTTTTTTGAAACAAGACATTACCAATCCATTCCTATTTGGAAGAAAAATCAGACCAGATCCTGCCCCCCCCCCCTATATAAAAATGGCAAATATCACCTCCCTTTCCTGATGCTTCTGGGAGTGTGATTTGCCATTTTGAGATGCAAGAAAAAAGTCTTTTGGGAAGTTCAGAAATATAGGGTCCTGAGGAGGGCAAAAAAGGGCTGTAGATCTCAGAAGTTGCCTGCCTGTTCTTTAGTCATTACACTATATGGGGTCTTTAGTTGCTACAATTGGAATTCAGTTGAAACGTTAAATTGGGGTCTTGGCTTTTCTCATGATTACAGTAGTTAAACCACATGGTTTAAGTCTGGTTTACCACCAAAGGGTTTATCTAGATTTATTTAATCTATTTTATGTATGTGGCTAAGTATTGATGCTATCACTATTATTTGTTTGTTTGTTTGTTTGTTT